TGGAAATCACAGCAGAATGCGGGAATTTCAGCAAGGCATTCATTCCAGCGGCAAATCCCAGAAATCAGCAGTGTTCTCAGTCTGTGTTTTTGGCGGGTCATTACACATTGAGAAAAGTCACATGTAGCTATTTGTTGACCCACTATCAACTAATGCGCCTACTCTTCCTTACTAATTTGATTACGACTATTGTCATTAGCTGCCCCTGCGGCTTCCTCGTTATTTCGGTCCAGGCTTGGCGACGAGTGATGAGCTCATCACCGATGCCTGCGGGGGAGCCACGTAGAGAGATCCTAGCACAAGCTAGGTGGGGGCCTACATCAGCCTCTGCCATTGGGCTCTTCAAACAGGAGGGTGCCTGTTCAGCGTGCGCTTCTATCTGTATGTCTGAGTTTGGAGGCCCTGTAGGGGCAGCTGCCACCCCTTCTGGCTGTTTTCTTTTGGGCACTTGTAGTCAGGGTAAAGGGGGATAATGTGGTTGGGGTCACCACATTCGATGCACCGACTCTCATTTATCCTCTTCTTCAACAGACTATACTTTATCTTGAGGGCCTCTCAAGGCTTTCCATCTGCAAGCCCTTGGTGTGCCAGATAAGGCCTTCGGCCCCTACCTCTTCCCCCATTGAAGGGAGAACCGCACCGACCTTGCGGGGAACCGTTACCCTTGCCTTCCGATAATAGCTCTCAACGCCACTACTCCCTTGAGGGGTGGGTACCCTACCTCCACCTCTTTTCCGGCCTCCTCCTCTACCTCGTTGCCCTCCCCCACGGGCTGCAGCATCCACATAGTCCCCTCTCTGATTTACACGATCACTGCCCACATCTTCCAGTCCGAAGTCTATATGTTCGTAGGGTGGAGTTTCGACTTTCCCTTCGTCTAATGTGACTAGAAGACTATCCTTCCCCTCTATTTTGCTGGATATGGTCTTGTTCTTCCACCGGTTCCCGTTTTGCATGTCTTTCCAATAGTGGTAATAATTTGCCTCCTGCAGGAAAGCGGCCTGATCTACAACAGTCTTGCTGAACTTGTCATACGTCATGCCCTCTTCCTTTGTCTGGGCATACAGTTGGTACCTAAGGGGATCGAGAAGTGCCCTTGCAAAATTATTCAGAATCTGTGTTAGTGTCAACCCGTGCTCGGGCCCTGCAGAATTATTCAGAATCCGTGTGGGGTTCAACCTATGCTCGGGGCGAGCGGACACGCTATTCCGCTTGCAATTAGGGTTATTGAGAATCAGGTGTTTGTACACCGGGCTAGGTTTTTGTCTTCGAACCAGGGCTAAGCCGGCAACCGGCCGGTCGGATCGGCCCGGTCCCAACCGGGCCGGTTGGACCCCAGGTGGTTCAACCGGAATTCCGGTTGGGCCCAAAAATGGGTCAATTTTTTTTTTTTTTTTTTTTTTTGAAA